TCTCCCCTCCCCTCCCCTCCTCTCTCTTCTCTTCCTTCTCTTCTCTTCTTTCTCTTCTCCCTTCCCCTCCCCTCCCCTCTTCTGCTTTTCTTTTTCTTTCTTTTTTTTGAGATGGCGTCTCATTCTGTTGCCCACGCTAGAGTGCAGTGGCATGATCTCAGCTCACTGCAGCCTCCGCCTCCCAGGTACAAGCGATTCTCCTGCCTCAGCCTCCTGAGTAGCTGGGATTACAGGTGTGTGCCACGTCTGGCTAATTTTTTTTGTATTTTAGTAAGAGATAGGGTTTCACCATGTTGGTCAGGCTGATCTTGAACTCCTGACCTCCTGATCTGCCCGCCTCAGCCTCCCAAAGTGCTGGGATTACAGGTGTGAGCCACCGTGCCCAGCTCTTCTTTTTCTTTCCTTTGAGTTTTAAATGTATCATCCCACTCCCCTCTGGCCTGAAAAGTTTCTGCTGAGAAATTTTCTGGTAGTCTTATGGAGGTTCCTTTATATATGGTGGTATGGTTTTTCCTTGCAGTTTTCAACACTCTGCCGTTAGTTTTTGACATTTTAATTGTCATGTGTCTTGGTGGGTCTCTTTGAATTGATCTTATTTGGTTTCTTTTCGGCTTCCTGGATCTGGCTTTTCATTTCCTTCCCCAGGCTTGGGAAGTTTTCTGCCATTATTTCTTTGAATATGTTACTTGTTTTCTCCTTCTTGTCCTGATAATGCATAAGTTGTTCTCCATGATGGTGTCCCATAAGTCTTTTACGTTATCTTTACTCTCTTTCATTATTTTTTCTTTTTGCTCCTGAGATTAGATGATTTCCAGTGACCTGTCTTTTAATTTACTGATTCTTTCATCTGCTTGATCTAGTCTGCTGTCAAACCCCCTGTATTGAGTTGTTCAGTTTAGTTTTAGTATTTTTCAGATTGATGTTTTCTCACTGGTACTTTTAATACTTTCTGTCTCTTTATGGAAGTTCTTAGTTTGTTCTTGCATTGCTTTCTTGACCTGGGTGAGCATCTTTGTGACCATTATTTGGAATTTCCTGTTAGGTGGTGAATCATACATCTCCAGTTCATTTGGGTTGGTTTCTACTGATTTATTTTGTTCTTTTTTTTTTTTTTTTAAATAAATATTTGTGTCTTCATTGATCTCGACTCTCTCTATGTTGGTTTCTGTGCATTACATGGGATAACTGCCTCTCTTAGTCTTCTCAGACTGGCCTTACGTAGCAGAAGGATCTCACCAATCCATCTAGGTAGAGATTTTAAGATACCTTTTAAATCTTTGTATTTGTTCAGACTGCTGTCTCTATTTTTGTTGCCATATTCTGTCAGTACCCTGTGATTAGTAAGGTAGAAGCCAGATGCTTAGATGTAGCTGGGAAGGTTGAGGTACGGCATGTGTCCCAGTTCCTTCTGTCCTCATGTTGAAGTCAAGTGCCTGACTCTTCCACCCTCTCTACAGTAAGCCGTCTCTATGGCAAATGCCCATGCTTGGCTTGTGGCTGCACTCTATGATCCTGGGGAGATACTGGCTGGAAGTGGTCTCGTTCTGTGTCTACCTGTTTGTTTTCTGTGGTTTAGGGAGATTCCAGAATGCAAAACCCTGCCACTTCCCATAGCTTAGGTTGTGAAGGGTACAGTCCCTTGTGTGTGTGTCGCTATAAAAGTGTGGCACTCAGTCTGTGGACAAACTTCTTTTAGGAAGAAAGAGTAGGCTTGAAATCATTAGTGGGATGTGCTGGAGGAAAGGATCAGGATATGACAGGTTCCTGCGCAGGCCGCCTGTGGGCTACTGTTTGTCTCCCACATTAGCTCTCTGATGGAAGTTAGAGGCCAGACTGTCAAGTAACTACTGGAAGAGTATGCAGTTATAAACCCTTTTTGGAGAGAAAATGAGAGCTGCATGTTCCAGATTCTTTTCTTCACTGCTCCCGGGGAGTGTAGCCCTAGAAAGCATTTGTACACCTATTTAAAACCACCTCCTTATTTTTTAATTTACAGAGACTTGCATATGTCTAGTCTCTCCCATTACCAGATCTAGGAGATTTAGGATATAATCATTTGGATGGGTGCTTTGAAAATTGAGGCATTTGATGTGGGGACAAACTCCTTCTAGGAGGAATTGGTAGGCCTAGAGTTACTGCTGGGGCAAGCCAGGGAAAAAGGCTCAGAAAGTGTCGAGCTGCTGCTTAGGCTGCTTTTGCACTGTGCCTTTAACTCCCCAATGCAAGTTCAAAGCCAGGCTGTCGAGTATCCACTGCAAGACTGTGCCATCAGCTCCTTCCAGGGAGAAATGTGGAGCTTCACATTTTCAGCCCCTTGTTTGCACTGCCCCCAAAGGTTGTAGTCCCTGAAAGTACTTGCATGCCTGATTAAAAGCATCTCTTTGTTCTAGGGATCTAGTGATCTAGGAAGACTTGGCACTAGATCCCTCAGCTCCCAGAGCCAGAAGATGTAGGATGCAGGCCCTTGGGTGGAAACTGTAAAAGTTGGAGTGCTTGATGTGTGAACAGACTCCCAGAAGTACATTTTTGAGATACAGATGATGAGGATGGCTTGCAGCTAGTCCCAAAATAAGTAATGTTGAATGATAGCAGAAGTCATTTTCAGAAAGTAGACATTAGTTTTTCCCATACTATGACATTCAAGCCCGCTTTGTGCTTCAATCATGGGTCAAATTATTATAAATAGATTATAGATTATTTGGGACTCACCTATAAAACCCTTTAGGTGCAAGATAAATCCTTCTTAAGCTTGATATTGCGTTACAGTAGTTGAGCTATAAAGAGTTCTAGTATATTTTTGCTTTGAGGCACATACATGAACAAATGGTACCTTTTTAGCCCTGTTATTTAATAGCCTGCTTTTCTCATGTATGCTGAGATCTTCCCCTGCTCTCCAGATAAACAGGGGTCACATGACGACAGAAGCCAAGAGAGCTGCAAAGATGGAAAAGAAGATGAAAATTTTGCTTGGGGGTTACCAGTCTCGTGCTATGGGGCTCATGAAACAGTTGAATGACTTATGGGACCAAATTGAACAGGCTCACTTGGAGTTACGCACTTTTGAAGAACTCAAGAAACATGAAGATTCTGCTATTCCCCGGAGGCTAGAGGTAATGTGATATATTGAAGTGTTGCTTAAAGAGTGCTGCAAAGAATTATCAGAGCTGTCCTGTTTTTACTTCTATGCTGGCTGTCTCTGAAGTTGGTACTGTCAGGCTTTTAATAATGAGAGCTTAAAGTATTTGACTTTCTAATCTAGAATTGCCTCTGTATAGATGGATAGACCAGGCAAGTTGTAGATGCAAAGGCCTTCCCTTACTCATCTTCTGTTTTGTGTATAGATACATTGTGAAATGGAATACTTAGCTCTTGTAATTTGTCCCCTTGAAACTTAATTGTAACCCATTCATGTAGTTCTTTGAGGGAAAACTAAACCAGTATCTTTTTGTTTTGTAACTTAGGTTGCTGGGAACAGAGCTAGTCCTTCCAAACCATCACATTTCTTTGACCAGGTTTGGATTCAGTTATCTACCAAATGGGCATAATAGCTCCTGTCCAGCTAAAGGGCAGTCAGGGCTTCTCGAAGTTCATTTGTGGGTATTGATAGGACGGTAGTGGTTTGTTTATTTGAAGTAGCAGCAGGATTTTACAAGATGGCAAGCATATGACCAAATCAAAGAATGGCTGTAGTACTGCTTTTATAGCAAAAGTATTGGATATGTTTGTTTCTCTTTGAGAAATATTTACCTCTTAAGAATCATGATTTAACTCAACTGGTTTTTAAGGTGGTAGAGTACTGTAGGTTTTTTTCAGTATAGTTACATCTAAAATAATTAATGTTTTTGTTTCTTTAAGTGTCTGAAAGAAGATGTTCAGCGACAACAAGAAAGAGAAAAGGAACTTCAGCATAGATATGCTGATCTGCTGCTGGAGAAAGAGACATTAAAGTCAAAATTCTGAAGTACAGTTTATTATTCTGCCACAGAACGAATTAATTGCCGGTTTTCATACTCTAGAAGGCTGAAACTGATGTTTATCTTCATTGACAAATTAACCCACCATCTGTGGTTTTTCACTTGTTTATTTTAAATGATATCGATCTTACACATTCTGTGTATAAAGACCCTAACTCCACAGGACGGACATTTTGGGGTTTAAATTATTAAGGCTATCATTCTTTTAGCAATGTCATATTTGCAAACTTTTTTAGTTTTGGCCTTTAATTTAAAAAGCCTAATTTTAAAGTGCTGCCTATGAGTAACTTGAATAAAAACAAAATATAAAAAATTGAGAATGTAGCCTTTTGTTTGAAGTAATTAGATACTTAAGAGTGCCCGCAAACCAGCAGCTCTGTACTCTGTGTCATATTTAATGAGTAACTCTTGGGTAATCAAAATGGTGATCCAGTATCTTAAACACTTAAGAGGCAGTTCTTTGTGGCTTTGTTAGTTTCAGCAAAGAATGGTCATTTCTGTATACACTGACAAGATAAATTAACTTTTTAGTACCTCAAAAATTTTTTTTTAAATATCACTTTAAAGAAGGTCTCTTCCGTGCCAGCTGCTTACATAATTTATGGGTCAGGGCTTAAAATATTTAACTTTTCTTGCCCTATTATTTTCTTGTAAGTATTTTTTGACAAAGGCACTTTAAAAGTTAATTTCAACAAGGCCATCAGACTTAAAGCTCTATGTTTAGTGTAAGAAGTCAATTACATCAGTGTAGAATTTGGTAAATGGATAGAGGTGGAGAGATTTCATTTTATAATAATTCATATAAATTGATTTAGTGTACGCTGTTAGTTGACTACAAGCTCATTATAGGCCAGCAATGTGTTGAGATCACCAAAAACATTTGCCCCGTCTTAGAATACTAGGGAATGTAGGAAGGGAAGGGAGGGATCCATCCATCCATCCATCCATCCGTCCATCCATCCATCAGATATTGAATGTATACCTTGTGCCAGAGTCTTCGATCGACAGCAAAGAATAAAATAGGCCTAGTTCCTGTTTAGTAGAGCTTATAGTTTTTTGAGAATGACAGACAATTAAAATCCTATGTGTCAGACACTTACTTAAATGTTGGAGATAAGCAATTACTAAGAGTTTGTGCTCTCATGGAGGTGACATTAGTGGGGAGGAGATACTAAATATGTACAGGGAAAGTATCAGATCATGAGTTTTAGATTCTATGGAGGAAATTAAAGTAGAGTGATTATGAGATAGTGAATGAATGGCTAATTTAGATTGGATGATCAAAGAGACCTCTTGGAAGACAGCTATGCTCACCGCAATACCACCACTCTATACCGTACCGTGTCACTATAAGCCGCACAGCCAAAGAGACCTCTTAAAGAAGTAACATTTAAGATAACATGTGATTGACATTTTAGAAGGGGCCATCCTTGTGAGATTCAAGGAAAGAACATCCCAGGCAGAGTGAATAGCAAGCATAAAGCCTCTTTTGTGTGTCTGAGGAACAAAAAGGACAATGTGGCTTTTCTGTGTATAAGGCCTGGTTGTACACAGCCACATAAATAAGGCTATAATAAGGAATTTGGATCTTTAAATATGGCAAGAATCTATGAGAAGATCTAAGCAAAGGAATGACATCAGATTTGGTTTTAGAAACATCACTGTCTCTTTACTGTGTGACATCTCACCAGGCTGGAGATACGGAAGCCAGTCCATTTAGGAGCCTGATGCAGTAATCCAGGCAAAAAATAATAGTGACTCTAACTAGGGTCCAGGTAATAGTAGGGGAATTATGTGGAGAGACATGATAGGTATATACTTAGTAGTCTTATCAGACCATAGATTGATATTTTCCTCGTATACAGTCACTTAATTCAGATGCTTTTTTCATTGAGTTCTGGGTTTCCTAGGAAATACTTACGTATCATCTGTGAATAATGATAATGTTTCTTCTGATAGTTTTATTTCCTTTTTATTGCATGTTTTGTTAGCTGAAATGTTTAGGACAATGTTAAATAATAATGATGTTAGATATTTTTGTTTTTTTCTCATTTTAATGGGAATGTTCATAGTTTTTACTTTTAAGTTTGCTGTTGGGAGTTAGTCTTTATCTGAAAGATAGTGTCTCTCTTAGTTGTTAAAGAGTTTGAATTAGAAATGCCTCTGGAACTTTCAAAACCATGCCATTTGGACATCTATTAAAACATTCATATAATTTTTCTCATTTGATGTTTTGATGAGGTATATTAATAGATTTTCCCACATTAAATCATCTTTGCAGTCCTGGAATCAGGTAGATTAATTTTTTAAAGAAATTTAAAAGGTTTTACAGTTTATTTGCATTTTTTGTAGACTTGAATTATATGGATTTAAAATTTATTAATAAAGGCTACTTTTGTCTCAAAATTGGAAGTAATGCGCATACTTATAGCCTAAAAAAACAAGAAATACAAAATTTCAAAACTGGCAGTCTCAGTGCATTGTAAACTGCATATGCATTTGCAGCGTAGCAGTGCCACTTGAAATGGTGAACAGACACAGTTACCCTTTGTTAGTATCCTGTAAAGCCCAGGATTCTTTACCAGCACCACTCAGCCATTTTGGTGATGATTTTAACATTCATATTGAGGCCAGGAGTGGTGGCTCATGCCTGTAATCCTAGTACTTTGGGAGGCCGAGGTGGGAGGATCCTTTTAGCTTAGGAGTTCAAGACTAGCCTGGGTAACATAGACCCTGTCTATTAAAAAATAATAATAATAAAAACAACATTGACTTTGGTGTTGGTCTCTCACAGGCATTCATTAAGGTATTGTTGAAACTTGTGTTAAGCATGTTAAAGTCTGAGTAACTTTGGGACAGAAATAAAATGTGACAAAAGCTGAAAGAAACCCTCTCAAGGGATAGTCCTTTTTGAAATATTGTAGACATAATGCTGTCTAATAAACGACATCAAAGAGAAACCACACTACAATGATTGCAGACTTAATGTTAGCCAACCATGCATCCTCCCTAGAAATGCATTTGAATTTGATTTACTAATCTTTTATTTAGGAAATTTGCGTTTTTTTTTGCATGAATGAGATTGGTCTTTTGGGCTATTTTGTGTGGGTGTTTTTTTTTTTTTTTTTTTTTTTTTTGCTCTTTAAAGTTATATCTATATGCATACATACTCCAG